GGCTGAGGCAAAGAGGCAGTCCCAGAACCAGTAAAATCTGGGCACTGGGCAAGGGACAGAATGTGGAAGGAATTGCCACTCCCAAATTGGACTTTTTAGCCACACCAGATGCTGCATTAGGACCTCTTTCCAGAGCACAATACCATAAACTTTCGAGACTGAAGGATGCCAACAAGTCCTCAATTTATGACCATTGACTTTTATTGTTAGAAGGTCGCAAAAGGAGGATCAAATGACCCTCAATGCCAAAGGCACATGCAACGCTGTTACCTTCCCACCAAATGGGTCCCTATTTTTCTATTTGCATTTTTATGTGCTTTCGAACTGCTAGGTTGGCAGAAGCTGGGACTGTCAGGCCTGCAGCCATATCCCTTTTTGATTCTTTGGCCTGCCACACTTTCTATTATTCTACTATGCCGTTTCTATTGTGGGAAAATGGGAGGGGGGATGGTACGGCGTTAGATGATATGTAGCCATAACAAAAGTCTTTCTAGAAAGCCAAGGTTATCCTTTGTCTCTCCACCTCTGCACCTGACCGGAACTGGATGGGTGGAACTGCCAGCATGGCAGTGGGCAATTGGACCATGGGATGGACTTGTGGGTTGGGGGCAATATCTTGAATTTTCAACTGGGTGGGAAAACCGGGAAGCCTTCAGATTCAGGTTTTCCCAGATGTGCCAACATGGCTCTCTTAATTGGAACTTTGAGGAATGCTTTGCTTTGGACTCTGATTTAATTTTGGATGCTATTTGGAACCCTGACATTGACAAGTAATGGGAGCTCACTCCATTACACAGCACTAGGGATTCGAACTGCCGAACTGCCGACCTTTCTGATCGACATGCTCAGCATCTTAGCCACTGAGCCACTGCAATTTGCAATTTTCACATTATGCTTGGTGGTGAAGACACCCTGATATTTTTTTTATTTGTTGCAATTGAATAAAGAATGAAACATGCCCTATGATAATGGAAAAATCTCTAGTTCCATTGAATGAAGAATGACTCCATGTCTGTTAATGTTAAGTTGTGGCCAGTGGTGGGCTGCTGCTGGTTCAGACTGGTTTGAGCGGACTAGTAGTTCTGACCTGCAGGTGGGGCCGTCCATCTGCCCACCCACACTGGCGCTATTTCATCCTATATCGCCATATTTTTGGCGCCATGCGCGTGCTTGGAAGGCCACATTTCTGCTGCTGGGCCAACCAGTTGTTACATTACGTGCCACCCACCTCTCCTTTGTGGCCCCAATTCAATGCTGCACTAATCATTTCCTTCGGGTCTTTTTATAATCGGTGACCATGTTTTCACTGAAATTATTGTAACACTTGAATTTTTGGATTGACTTTATCTCAAAATAACCCTGAAAATGCACAAAGAGTCTCTCAGCCTCCAGCTGTTCCCCAATATCAGCCATGGTTGCAAAACTTCCATCAAATCCCAAAAACATCAGCTCAATGAAAAATGGTCAGTTCTGGTCATTTCTAACAGTAGTTCAGTTTTTTAAAATTATGTTTTAACTTCTATACCAGCCTTTCCCCACCTCAGCAGGTTTATGATGTATCGCCTTCAACTCCAAAGGTGGCTGGGGAATTCTGGGAACTGAAGTCCATACATTTTAAACTTGCTGAAGTTAAGAAATCTGCTCTGTCCAGTGGCGAGAAGGTGTTTGTGATGAATTGACTTCACCCTATCTGTTTGTTTGTTTGTTTGTTTGTTTGTTTGTTTCTTTCTTTCTTTCTTTCTTTCTTTCTTTCTTTAGGAAATAATGACCCCCCCCCCATTAAAAGCAAATAGCTCTGGGCAGCTCACCATATCCGACTATCCACCAGCATAATTTTCACAAATGCAAACAAATATAATCCAAAGGAAATGCAAAATATAAAAGAGAAGGTGCCACAGAAGTGATCCCCAGTCACAAATTCACCACTATCTGGGCTCCACTAACCTCCTGGCCTTGGTGCCTTTCAGCTGGGAGATATTTATTATTGTGATGCATTATTTAGATTTATACCCACTTTTCATTCCGTAGCTCAGAAATGCTGCATGCATAGCAGCACTTCCTCTTCCTGTCAGCCCTGACAACCCTGGAACTAATTGGGGTGAAGAGAAAGTAGGTCACCGAAGTCCCTCCGGGAGCTTCCATGGCTGGAGAGCCTCCCAGCGCCTTCAGTGACAAGGTCCTTCCTGCACTGTCCTGGGGTCTTTATTGTCAGGCCTATGAATTCGGCACATTAAGGAAGAAGAGCCGTATATAAATAAAATCAGGGTCATCATTTCTTCCTCTCTGACCATTGATTTGATACAGATACAGATAAACAGAGTTGGAAAGGACCTTGTAGGTCATCTAGTCCAATCCCACCCCCAAGCAGGAGACCCTACTTCATTTCTGAAAGATGGCAGCCCAATCTCTTCTTGAAGGCCTCCAGTGATGAAGCTCCCACAACTTCTGAAGGCAACTTCTGTTCCACTGGCTGATTGCTCTCACTGTCAGAAAATTCCTCCTTATTTCCAGGTTGAATCTCTTCTTGATCAGTTTCTATCCATTCTTCCTTGTCTGGCCTTCAGGTGCTTTGGAAAATAGCTTGACACCCCCCTGCTTTCTGGGGCAGCCCCTCAAATATTGGAAGGATGCTATCCTGTCACCCCTGGTCCTTCTCTTCACTAGACTAGCCCCGCCCAGTTCCTGCCACCCTTCATCGTATGTTTTAGACTCCAGGCCCCTAATCATCCTGATTGCTCTTCTCTGCACTTTCTCTAGAGTCTCAACCTCTTTTTTATAGTGTGGTGACCAAAACTGGATGCAGAACTCTAGGTGTTGTCTTACTAAGGCTTTACAGAGTGGTATTAGTACCTCACTTGATTGTATCCCTGTTGTGCCACCCGCTGTTAATGCAATTTAGGATTGCATTGGCTATTTTGGCTGCCATCGTGCACCGTTGGCTCCTATTTAGCTGGTTGTCCACTAAGACTCCAAGATCCCTCTCAGAGTCACTGCCAGTAAGCCTGGTTTCACCCAGTCTATATGTGCATTTTTGGTTTTTCTTGCCGAGGTGCAAGACTTTACTTTTCTCTGCATTGAATTTCACTTTGTTAAATAGGGACCATTGTTCAAGTACCCTGCCTTTTGTGTTCCCACTCCCTAGACATACACACACACACACACACACACACCCCTACAGTAAGAGCTCTACAGGTGTTTATTCAACCCTCCCCCCAACAGAATCTTGGAAAGCACTTTAGTAAGAGATCAACACGGAATCTTGGCCAGAGACAGAAAGAAGGGAACAAGAGCAAATCCATTTCTGATCCAGATCAAGCAGGCCAGGCAAACCAACCCACTGGTTGCATGTCCCCATAGTCTTCTTCTATATATATAAAAATGGCTGTGTCTGTGCACACATGTGTGTATGTTCCAGCATAACTCTGGAACGCCTTGAGCAATTTCAACCAACCTTGGTACACAGATGACTCCATCTCTAGAGAAAAATACAATGGGGGTAAGACACCCCTAACACTCCTCGGAGTGTGTGTTCTGTTAAGATACAGTCTGTTGTGCCCTAAAATGGATTCTACTGTACAGCACAATGGGGTTGCCATGGTAATGGCTTCACAGTACTTCACAATACTCCTTACTCTCTGGTAAGGGGGAAAATCCAACATTAGAAATTACATTTGGTCCGGACATTTGTGAATGTCTAATACAGGAGTGTGATAAACAAATACCCGGACAATGCCAGGTTAGCAGCTAGTAAGCAATAAAACAGCCCTGGAAAATTAGATAAAAGGCAGTCTAATAGCTTCTATCCAATGGCACGTTTACTTAACTAAGATCCATTAACCACAGCTGGACCCTGGTCAACGTTTGACAAGTTCTTCAGGCGCCAGCAGAGTTTGCTGCATGGAGAGTAATTGATGGCGGCCGAAAGGCAGCGGCTATAAAATTTGTCAGTTAACCTGGCCTGTTCACTGGCAGCAGGGGGCAAAACAAACTGAAAATGATTTAGCACCTTCAGAGAGTTCAGCAGAAATATTCCCTTCCATCTCCCCATGGCTGGGATTCCAGCTCTTTAGGGGAGGGGAGGGCTGAAATGGAGAACCGGCAGCGGAAAATTTGAGTAGTTTGGAGAACCGGCAAAGGCCACCTCTGGCTGGCCCACCCCTATCTATTCTCCGCCTCCCGAGCTGATTGGGAGGGAATGGGGATTTTGCAGTATCCTTCCCCTGCCACACCCACCAAGCCAGACCCACAGAATTAGTAGTAAAAAAAAATGAATTTTTACCACTGGGAGGAGCATATTTAGAAGGGAGAGAGCTGGCAATGTCTCTCATACAACATGGTGGCCAGTCACGTGATGCCATTGTGTTCTCTGCCTGCGAGGGCAGCCCTTGGGTGGGGGTTTCATCCCGGTCTGAGCTGGAGGAACTCAGGCATTTGTTGCTCAGCTGTCCGTGCAGCTTTATATATATATATATATATATATATGTTATATTTATGCTGATAAATAAATAAAGGGAGACTAGTATAGATCTATTTCAAGCTATTTAGCTCTCATCAGCTNCCTATGAAGCGGTATATAAGTCTACTGCTATTGCTAAAACAAAAAAAGTCTACTGCTATTGCTATTGATCAGGTGACTGCAGGAGCACTGCAATGGCCAGAACTTCAATGGCTAGTCGTAAGTACACTTGTTCAGTGCCATCACAACTTCAAACAGTCATGAAAGTAGTCAGTAAGTAAGGACTACCTGTATATAGGTAATACACCTGTACATACGTAAACAAATAAAAAGCATACCTTGTATCTTGAACATCACACGTTATATAAACACACATTTATATAAAATAAATATTGTGTTTTGTTAACTCAGGCTTAGTATTTAGTATATTGTACAAAACCAGTTATATGTACCAACAAAACATTTAGAATAATATTAGTTTTTGTGAAAATCCTACACAAACTTGAAAAGCATCGTAACAGCAATTCTTCCACTAAACAGAAAAAGTAAATTTTTTTCCATTTTCTATTATCACTTCAAAATGTTCGCATTTTCCATCATGACTGAAAAATTGTTTGAGCTGTTTATCTTTACCCTCCCTCTAAAGTCATTTTTTTTTTTACTTACAATTACATCTTTTTTGCACAAATCTGAGTTTGCAGGCAGTCCGATATGTTGACAGCCGGATGACATCAAAATTCTGAGCCCCTACAAATTAAAAGCAAAGAGCTTTCCCCACATGTATTTCCATTTTAAAATGAAAAAGAGGACTTTTATTACATTACGATGTCCAACTATAATTGCAACTACATTAGAAACTTAATCCTTAAGGAGTGGTAAACTTTTATCTAGATTGAACTAATTCTGTATCATACTCCACCCTCTCTCATGTGTGTTCAATTATTCCACCAGATAAAAAGTAACCAATGTATGGTTAGCTATCATATTAAAAAGAATATTTATCTATGGCATTTTTGCATTTTGCATACATTTTTTGCATTTATGTGGCAAACATTTACCTTATTTATACATTGCATAAGGAGTATGAAATAATACATTCTATCATTCAGATTTACCATCACAGTGAGATGGTGGAATGGGAAAAGGTAATATAAGGTCACCACTAAATCTTATTTAAAGACTGATGCTAGGGCACAAACTCTCAACAAACAACACCCTGTTATTTCAATGTAATAATTTAGGAGAAACAGGACCTGATTACATTCTTTGAAGAGGCTGCAACATATTTTTAAATGAAGTTTCAAACTTTTAAGACTTCTACTTACTCATTTCCATGAAGAGCTGTCTTTTCTCTGCCATTGTCCTCCTCCTCTTTCCACTTTCTTCAATCATCCTAAAAACAAATTTAGAATTTTAGCAGGCTGTTCGGAGAGAATTTAGATACCAAGAAGAAAATCACAAATTCTTTCATTATTCATCTGTTATGGCAGAAAACAGCCAAAGAAACAACCAGAAGAAGCCACTTGGAAAATACAGACTACTATATATTCACTGAATTAAACTATGCAGAGCAGGAAGCAAATACCAGAAGTTCAAAGACACTTCCACACCTCTGTTTTAATAAAGATCCATAATAATTAACTTGCCACTGCAACCACCAGCAAATAAGCTTGAAGAACAGTTAATTTACTGTTGGGTTGGGAGATTCAAAAGGGGAAATATGTGCTTCTTCCTACAGTACACTAGGCACAAGGTCTTCTTTCTATTAGGAACTGTTCGGTTAAATATAGCCCCTAATGGTGCAATTATAATTTTCATGGTGAGGGTATTCTAAAAAAAATAATCTTGCAGCTATGAACAGATGGTTGGTCCTTTCCTGTTGGCTTCATTATTAAATCAGTTTAAGAAATGAGAGTATCAAGATGGAGTTATATGAGATTCCTTAAGTATAGTTAAGAACTACTGGATTTTTTGGACTATTAAGATGCTCTGAACTATAAGACGTACCTAGTTTTTGGAGAGGAAAATGAGAAAAAAATCTGCCTCTTAGCAATTTGCCTCCTTGCACCAAAGAGCAAGCAGCCTGGTCATTCTCAGCACAGGCTGATTTAGCGTGAGCAGCTGATTGGGGTTGGATCTGCCTCCCGGAATACTGCCTATCAGCTGTTCCAGGCTGCGGGGATCACCATCGCCACCGTTGCTGCTGCTGCCTATCGCCACCTCTGCACACCTCATTTTTGGCCTGAAAATGGGACGTGAGGAGGCCAAAGATGGGGCCCACAGACAACAGCAGCAATGGGCGGTGGCGATTCCCACAGTCTGGAACAGCTGGAAGGTGGTATTCCAGGAGGCAGATCCAACCGCCAATCAGCTGCTCGTGCTAAATCAGGCTGTGCTGAAGCTGGCCAGGCTGTTTGCTGCAAGGAGGAAAATTGCTGGGAGGCAGAGGCCAAAGGCTGGGGGCCAGCGGGTGGGCGGGGTTTCATCAACATTCGCTGTATAAGACGCACAGACATTTCCACCCACTTTGGGGGGGGGATGAGTCTTATACACTGAAAAATAAGGTAACTTTTTTTTTTACTATCACATTGATTTTTATTTTTTTAAAAATCCAGGAATTCAAGATCACCAGTAACAGTATTTATCGTCCTTAACTTACAATCACAATTGGGAACAGAATTTCTGTTGCTAAGCAAGGCGGTTAAATGAATCACGTGCTATTTTATGACCTTTTTTGCCAGTTAAGTGAATCATGAAGTCGTTAACAGAATCCGAGTTCTTCCTTGACTTTCCTTGTCAGAAGCTGTCTGGGAAAGTCACAAATGGCAATCACACGACTAAAAGAGGCTGCAACAGTTGAAAATGTATGCTGGTTGCCAAGCACCCAAATTTTGATCACAGATGCCGCAATGATTGTAGGTGAAAGGACTTTAGACTTAGACTAACTTTATTGTCACGTACATTAAAATGAAATTTCATTGCGTACAGCTCTCAAAGGGTCTCCACCTCTAATATATACTACATAAATATACAATATAAAAAGTTGTAAGTCACTTTTTTCAACGCTGTTGTAACTTTGAACACTATGGTTCAAATAAATGGCTGCAACTTAAGGACTACCTGAACAATTATGCCAAACCAGCAGTATCTGTCCAAGTTCTTCATAGATATATGCCAATTATGTTTTTGGAGTGTTAAATTTTAAAAATACCATTTAACATTCTTCATCTCATTTCTCTTGTGAGATTAAATCAGGGGAAATATGTTGTACATTAAAACAGGAAAGCATGATGCAGAAAAGTAGATGCTATGATGAAGAAAAATAGAAAAATGCTCAGAAAACCAGATTATTATTACTTATGAACAGGAATGCCGGGTAAAGTCCTAATAAACTCCAGCACTGAGTAATAGTTGATTCCAGGCTGCGTTTAGAATTTATCTGGTTTGCTCATTTGTGAAGAATTTAAAAAGGCAGGTGTAGCTATGACCATACAAAAGAGCTACTTATTAAGGCCAATACTACAGGACCTATTTTAACAGGTTTCGCTCTTTTTGGAGCTCATCAGCTGTAGGTAACGGCCTATTTTGCAATATTTTTTGAAAAGAAATTCGAAGACACTGATTTAATCCCTAAATCTAAATCCATGTATTCCAATACCAAATCATATTGCAATGTGAGGCAAGCATGTTTTCAGGATTTAAGCTAACAATTGTCTTAACAGTTCCCAAGAAAAAATTCCATGTGAGCCTGGAAAAATTGTGCCTGCTTTAAAATTCACTTTAACTTTAATTGGTTCCCTATAACAGCTCACCTTCCTATTCACATAGAAGCTTTAAAAAAGGACTTATTTATTTTTCGTAAATTCAGGTAGTCCTCAAGTTACTGCCATAATTGGGACTGGAAAGTCTGTTGCTAAGTGATATGGTCGTTAAGTGAGTCATGACATAAATGTGCCTTATTTTACTACCTTTTTTGTTGCAGTCATTAAGCGAGTCCAGCTTCCCCCATTGACTTTGCTTGTTGGAAATCAGCTGAGAAGATCACAAATTACAATCATGTGACTGCTAGGATAATATGATGGATGTAAGTGTGAGGACCCAGAGGGTGAAAAACGGCTGAAAATGAAAGCCGAAGTCAGCTGGCCAGTGGGCGCATGTGCGCTGGAGCTGACAGGGTAATGCCTTGGGTGCCCTAATAAATGGCTCCGTGTGCCACCTGTGGCACGGGTGCCATAAGTTCGCTATCACGGCTTTAACAGTTTGCAACTCTATCCAGTAAATTTTGAATTGAATAGCAGAATATGCATTTTGTAAACTAACATTCATAAGAAAAAATCAATCTTTAAAAGAACTCAACATAAACCTTGGCTTCAAATTTTGATTTACAATAAGAAAAGGTAGAAACAGATCCTGGTTTGGACAAACTTTGGAGCTTTGATACTATTAAAACTATTCTTCTGTTTTCTTGTCCCAGACAAATACAAATGCATTTGATTTTTTTTAGTTTATTTGTTTTAAAACAGCAAATGATTTAGTCCGTGTAGGATGTATAACCTTAATTACACCTTCTGAGTTTATAAAACCCTAGCTACTGCATGACTAAATTGCTTTTTTTAAAATATATTTTACAATACTCTTAAGTACAGTTTGCCATTTATTCTCCTACACAACCTGTAGGTTGAGAATTACACATTAGTTGACTTCATAACTATTCGCTGTTACAAAACTACTACTGTCCAATTTTCTTCCCACAAGTATATAAAAAGACCAGATTACTCCTGTTTCAAACTAATTAACAGTGATGGAAGCTGATAGTTTACTTTCAGATGATATTCACCTATGTATCTTCTCTTGAGAGCCAATTTGGTATAACAGTTAAGGCTAGAAACCAGGAGACTGTGAGTTGTTTGTTTTGTTTTGTTTGTTTGTTTTATTTATTTATAGGCCGCCCTTTTCCCTGAGGGGACTCA